GTGTACACAGCTAATCTGGTGGGCAGCGTGCCGCAGGCTCTCGGGAGTTCCTGACACCAGTCGGAATTCACACAAGACTCAGCGAAGTCTTAAACAACATATTCCCCCCTCTTTGGAAATCATTGACTTCCTAATGGGATAAATTCAAAGGAAAATGTGCCCCAACTCTCCGGCATCCTCTTGACACAAGAACTCCTTGGCAGGCGGGCTGGCTGAGGATGCAGGCAGAAAGGGCTTCATGACAGGAGCAGAGGCTGGGAGGCCCCATTCAGGGAGGGCTCATGACTCGCCCTGTGGCGTGTCAGGAGCCGGGTCTGTGTTCCAGCAGCGGGGGGTGGGGTGGGGGGCTGGGTGGGGACCGACACCTGAATGTCCACGTGGAATTATCATGGCCTCTACGGGGCAGATGGTTCTCAGTGATTCAGCCCTTTGTATATCTCAAAGCACCTGACATCTTCCTCTTTCACGTGACTCTAACAAGAATCCTAGGAAATAAGCAGAGCAGAACAGTGACCCTGTCAACAGAGAAGATGACTGACGAGAGAGGTGAGAAGAACCAGTGGGCAGGGAGTTGAAGCGCGTGGATTGGCCACTTTATTTTTTTTATTTTTTATTTTTTAAATTTTTATTTATTTATGATAGTCACACACACACACAGAGAGAGAGAGAGAGAGAGAGAGAGAGAGAGAGAGAGGCAGAGACACAGGCAGAGGGAGAAGCAGGCTCCATGCACCGGGAGCCGACGTGGGATTTGATCCCGGGTCTCCAGGATCGCGCCCTGGGCCAAAGGCAGGCGCTAAACCGCTGCGGGGTTGGCCACTTTAGTGAGACCCTGAGTGGGCCTCCTGCCCTTCTCAGGCCTGGGTTTTGTCATCTGTGAAGTGAAGGGGATGGACAAGATGGTGGTGAGGTCTTCTTACAGATCTCATTCAGGGATGAGATGCACGGAGCCAGGCCTGCCTGATGTCATGCCATCAGTGAGGTAAGTAACACAGAGACAAGTGCTCCCCATGCCACTGAGAAGCCCGCAGAGTACCCCCACGGCCACCTCCCTGACAGTGTGGGCTAACTGGGAGCTCCAGCTGCCCTCTGGACCTGGCAAAGACCCCCAGGGAGGGGTGGTAGGAGAGACCTAGAATATTCTCTGGCTGTGTGCTGACGTCCCAGCCACCAGCTGCTCACTGGAGAAGAGGAGGCCATTTCCTTTGGCACCTCCTTCGCCAGAAAAACTCAGTGGACACTGCCCCATGGCAGGCCCCATGCGAGATGAGGGATGTGGAAGTGAAGAAGACTCACTGTCCGCCCAGGAGGAAGTCACAGTGAGGAGAATGAGACTGGCTGCTGTGTCCCACTGGGCACAGCCAAGGGGCCACGTCCAGCTACCAATCAGAGCACAAAGCCTGTCCCTGGAACTGGGCTGAATCAGCCTCGAAAAAGGAGTGCCCTTTGATGACCTATGCAAAGGTGCTGGCTAGGGGCCAGTGAGCACTGTCTCCTTCCAGGTGAGTGCAGGATCCATAAAACTTTAGGGAGGGTCAGACTTAAAGACTTCTATTTTTTTTCTTTCTTTTTTTTTTTTTCTTTTTCTTTTTTCTTTTCTTTTCTTTTTTTTTTTTGGAGAGAAAGAGAAAAAGCACGAGCAGGGGCAGAGGCAGAGGGAGAAGCAGACTCCCCACAGAGCAAGCTATCTGATGTAGGGCTCGATCCCAGGACCCTGAGCCCCCTGGGTGCCCCAAGAAGGGTCAGACTGAGAGCAGCTCCCATGTAGACATCATCCTCCACACACGGAGGGGACAGCAGATGCACATGTCTGACCACATGAAATCAGTGAACCCCAGTAGCTTCCTATCTGTGATGTGCTGGTAAATGACGACTCTCCCATCTGTTCAAGATGGTCACCAAGGCCAACTGGGCCACATCTCAGGCACAGTGATCTGACTCTCTGGGGAAAATTAGATGAACACAACATGCCCTCAAGAACCAAGGGGCTCTCAGCCGAGGGGAGCGTGGGAGAGGCAGACACAAATACCCATGAGACATGGCAGGGGATAGCTGATGCTAGAAGATCCAGGTTATGGGCTGGGAAAGAACCGACAGGGCAATTGAGAGGAAGAAAAGGCCATTCCCAGCTGGGCACCAGTAGGTCCTCCTGGAGGACATGGTTAAGTCTCAAGAAGGCCCAGCTCTAGAGTGCCCCCCGCCACAGGCGCCAATCATCTCACTGTAGCCAGTTCTCTCCATTTTAGAACGGACCATTTGCCCCAAGTGCCTCTCAGCATCATGAGGATGAAAGGAGAACTGATTTAAATGCACCAAATACACAGTTTTGTCATCACTCAGAGAAGAGACTACACCTGAGGGAGAAGGGGTGCGGGGGCCACCTGCCCGATGCGGGGCCACAAGAACGCCTCCTGGGCTCCCACTGGCTGCCATTTTTTTTTTTTGACTTCCCACAGCTAATTTTATTGAAGAGACTCTGAGAAGAGTAAGTCAGAACTTCTAAGTCCTTCTGCATCAGGAAAATGGAAGTCCCCACCAGAGAGGTTTCTTCCCAGCCCTGAGTAACCGCAGCAGCGCCACATACAGCCGGTGGCCAGGGAACCTGGGCCCAGGCCCACTGTGCTCAGCAAACACTCCTTAACAGAAACCCATGGGCTCCCTCCTACTTCCAAGGGGCTCTGCATTCACGCTCCATTTTAATGTGTAACCACAAGCCAGTGGGGCAAACAACATCTGCTATCATCCCTGCCCAAGGTGGGGAGACCAAGGCTCCCAGAGGGCAGGTGAGGTCCACATCCCCAGCCAGCACTGTCAGAGAGAGCCTGGACCCTCCCTCCTCACCCCCTCACACCGGGGTTCTCAGATCACCCCCTCACACCGGGGTTCTCAGACTGTTCCACAGCCAGTCTTCACCCCAACAAATCACCTTTCCTAACCTGAGGGAAGAGCTACTATGTGCTGTTCAGGGTACCTTCCCGGGAATGTGTCACTTAGTCAAACCCTTTCATCCAGGGAGGTCCTAATTTTACTCCCAAATGGACTGGTTTATTCCAGTTCTGAAAGTGGTTTTGTGCATCCCAGAAATAAGTATCATGGGTTCTCTGGTACTTTTACCAAATAAGAAGTGACTTGGGTTCAAACCTTCAGTTTGGTTGTTTGGAGTCATTGCTTCTCAGAAGAAAGTGAAGGTACAAACAGCAAACGGTATTAGGAATAATAATAATAATAATAAAGGAATGATAATAATAACTATTATTATTACTTTTTTTTTCTACCATGGATACTTTTTTTCACCATGGATACATTTTTCTATTTTTTTTCATTTATTTTTTATTGGTGTTCAATTTGCCAACATATAGAATAACACCCAGTGTTCATCCCATCAAGTGTCCCTCTCAGTGCCCATCACCCAGTCACCCCCACCCCCCACCCACCTCCCTTTCTACCACCCCTAGTTCATTTCCCAGAGTTAGGAGTCTCTCATGTTCTGTCTCCCTTTCTGATATTTCCCACTTATTTTTTTCCCTTTCCCCTTTATTCCCTTTTGCTATTTTTTATGAATGAGTGAGACCATAATGAATGAGACCATATAATGTTTGTCCTTCTCCGATTGACTTACTTCACTCAGCATAATACCCTCCAGTTCCATCCACGTTGAAGCAAATGGTGGGTATCTGTTGTTTATAACACCATGGATACTCTTGCCCACAAAGTCAACTGTCAGTTTTGACAGCCAGCCTGGCTGCACGAGGGGGGACAGGGGGCAAGCTCTTAGCTATGGCCCCAAGGAGCTAGAGCTGGTTGTGCTGATTTGGGGTCTGAAATCTGGGCTGGAGTTCCAGTTCCAGCCAGGGAGCCCTACATCCCTGTCCCCCGGATGTCCTCCCACTATAGCCACACCAGACAGGTCAGTGCCTTTTGTATGAGCCTGTGACCTTCTGGCCGCGGGCAAGGAGAGCAGAGGAATGGGGCCCCAGAGAGAAAGCTGAAGCCCATTCAAGGTCAGAGCTACCCTCCCTTTTCATGACCCACCTCAGCGCCTTGGCTGACCTACTTTCTAGGGAATGTTTTCATTCTAATAAAAATTCATGGTTCAGAGGTTTTGGCAGAAGGCTAGAAATCACACCCCCCCCAGCTCTGTGGAGGGGTGCCTGGTGACATGTGCTCAGGCCAGATGCTCAGAGGCTCCCCCTAAAGTGGCAGGAACCAGGAGTGGGGGGAAGGGAATGTCAAAGGACTCCCAACTCCCGCAGGGAGCAGTGGGTTAGTGAAGAAGAGCCCTGGGGCCTTGAGCACGAGTGTCAGTGTAGTGGGGACAGCTGTGATCTCTGCGGCTGGGACAGTGGTTGGACACCCTGAGACACCTGTAGCCTTCCTAGGACACCAGGAGGTCAGGGCATCATGGGACCTCGGGTCCGAGCCACTAGCTGGACGGTGCATGCTGAGGATGGGTGTCCTCTGTCACCGGGAGGCCAGGACATCATGGGACCTGGGGGCCAAGGCACTAGCCGGATGGTGCATGCTGAGTATGAGTACCCTCTGTCCACACACAGGCAGAATGGGGCACGGGGCGGGGGAGGCGGCGAGCTGACCTGGAGCACAGGGCTTGTGCGGTGGGGAGCCAGCTGGGAGCCCCGAGAAGGCAGGAGAGGTGCTACCGGTGGACAGCGGATAAAGATGATGCCAGAGCAAGTTCTCCAAGAAGGGTTCTAAAGCCACGGGGTGCCGAGCTGGGAGAAATCCTGGTGGTCACCTCCTCCAGCCCCATCTCATACAGCTAGGAAGTCTGAGTCGGGTGGCTGTGGGGTGCAGCACGATTAAGAACCAGGCTACCACCCCCAACCCTGCCTGACCAGTGGTCTTTGTAGCACCGTGAGGCCTCCTCCAGTGCAGGACTCCAGCCCCGTGACTCCAGTGCAGCCAGGAAGATGCTCCCGAAGGACCGTGAGCACTCCTAGGGCTTCTGCAGCACCCACACCAGCCATCCCGGCCACACATACCTTGTGTGAATAATGCTGGTCAACGATGCGAGCCAACCCGAAATCCCCAATCTTGAGCACAAGATCCTCTGTGCTGATGAAGATGTTGGCGGGCTTCAGGTCCCTGTGCAACACATTGGCCGAGTGGATGTACTTGAGGCCGCGGAGCAGCTGGTACATGAACAGCTTGGCATGCTCCTCTGTCAGCGTGCCCTGCTCCAGTAGCCGTGCCAGGTCGGTCTCCATGTACTCCTGGACGATGTAGGCCACACTGAGCTTGAACAGCTCACCCTGCAGGTCCGCACCCTGGGGTCCCAGCACCTCGTACACCTTCACGATGTTGTCGTGGTCCAGGCGCCGGATGATCTTGATCTCTCGGAGCGCGTGCTTCATGCTGCGGGCATCACTCAGGATGATCTTCTTCACGGCCACCTTCCGGCGGGCCCTGCTGTCCACGGCCGACAGCACCAGCCCGTTGACGCCAAAGCCCAGGGGTTGGAAATCAACAAAGCGGCCACCGAGGTCATACCCGTAGACACTGGCAATGCAGTCCCCCTTCTCAGCCATGGTCACTCAGTGGTCAGGGGCTGCCCGTGCGAGGAAGGGGTGGTCGGCAGTAGCCAAGTCCCAGGGCGCGGCCTCCCTAGCACTCCTCATTCTGTCAAGTCCCAGAGCCGAGGGCTGTTTTCTCTCATGACGGTGTCATAGCTGCTGGCTCCCTGGGGACAAGAGCGGCATGCGTCCATGCCTGTTGAGCTGCGGAGAGCGAAGGCTCAGACCAGCCCCCTCACCTGCGCTGGGCGGGCTGTGCCCCCCCGAAGCCCAGGATGGCTCATGTTTCTTTCAAATGCAGCATCTTGGAAAGAAAAAACAGTCTCACGATCTACAGGAAGGTCAAGTTTTCTACCACGACGAACCTCAAGGTAAGAGATGCAGACGCTGTCCTCCCAGCGTCCCGCGTGGGCAGCTGCTCCTTCGGGTGGCCATGCAGGGTCTCGGCAGGCCGCACTCCTGAGCTCATGAAGGTCCAGACTCAGCTCAACACAGCCTCTGGCAGCTCGGGTGCCACTCTCCGTCCTGAGCAGGAGGAGGAGATCCCAAGCAATGGCTTCTGGAGGCTTCCGGGGGCTTCCATCTACTTCCTCCGGTCCCCTTGCTTCTGCGACCCAAACCAGGCTTCCAAGCACGGGCCAAGAAAGCCAAGAAACCCACCACCTGCCTGGAGCTCCTCACAATGAGCTGCGCCTGAGGCCTCAGAGCCGGGGGACTCCCCACGGCCACGCCAGGATCCTCCGGGGGCTTCAGCTCGAGCAGCGTCCTCCGTTGCCCCCGCCTTCAGGCCGCCTCAAGCAGGACTGGGTGCTGCTGGACTCGCAGAGGCTGCAGGAACGCGGCATCCTTCAGACCATGTCTCCTTTCCTGTCAGAGAAATAACACTGGGTAAATTTCCACTCCAGCTTCCAACACCTCCCCATGTGCGTGTCCTTTGTGAACCAGCCCGAGTGTCATCTGATCTGTCCAGCCAGCTGAAACACTGCTTGCTCAGGGGATTCCAGGCTTTGCTGCTCGGCCACCCCTGCATGTGCAGTGCTCCTCTGGAAGAGACAGAAGATGGGTTGATTTGATGGGATCGTCAAGTGGTGAGTGGGGTGCCGAGTATGCAAATGCCTCCCCAAAAAGGTTGACGCGCCCACGTGGTGGGTGGGAACAATCCACTCTGACTTGTAAGAAATCAACTTGTTATGCTCTCCTAACACCTACCTCATGACTAGCTGGGGGGGGGGGGGGGGGTTTGCCAGAACAAAGTTAATTAGTTGCAGGCAAAAATAAAAGGTCAATGACTTTGTTTCTGTACTTGGACCCCTTTTCTTCCCTCGTTTGCAAATGTGTTTGAATACCTTGAGAGAAAAAAAAAATGAATACCTTGAGAGAATCTGCTGCACGTGGGTATTTAATTACGTGTATCTCTTGCTTTTCATGGAGATGGCACGAGCACACACACTAAATAAGACGGCTCTCACTGCCGCCCTAACAGAGGGCCTCTGTGCTCTGGACTGGGCTGTGAGCTGTGCAGGGAGCTGGACACAGCAAGGACTAGAATCCTAGCCTGACTGCACCCTGGCGGCTGCTGATGCAAATTACAGGCAGAAGACCCAAGTGGGGAGAAGAAACCTGCCGAACAGACAATGTAAATTCAGGCCTCTCAGGTAAAGGCAAGGCCACAGCTTTAAAGGTGGGGGCGTTTTTTTATTTTATTGTTTTATTTGTTTAAAGATTTTATGCATTTATTTGAGAAAGTGAGTGTGTGCAAGTGTGCAAGAGCAGGGGGCAGGGCAGAGGGAGAAGCAGACTCCCCCCTGAGCAGGAAGCCCGACGGGGGCTCAAGCCCAGGACCCAGGATCACAACCCGAGCTGAAGACACATGCTTCACCAACTGAGCCCCCCGGGTTCTATAAGTTTGTTAAGTCCACAGACACTCGGAGAACCAGCCCTGTACCACTGGGTACCCTGCACCAAGGAGTGATGTAGCAGGGCTATTTCCTAATTCTCATCATCCTGAGGGGCCGTGTAGGGATGCTTTCCTATCTGAGCTTCGCACAATTCTGCACCTGATAGATGAGGTGAAACAACAGTCAACTCCATGTCTGAGATTCAGTGAGCAACCGAGGGGAAATAGATGATCTGAAATAGTCCCTAATCAAGACTCCTAACTCTGGGAAACGAACAAGGGGTGGTAGAAAGGGAGGTGGGCAAGGGGTGGGGGTGACTGGGTGACAGGCACTTGATGGGATGAGCACTGGGTGTTATTCTGTATGTTGGCAAATTGAACACCAATAAAAAATAAAAATAAATAAAAAGATTCAAGACACAATGGCGAGCAAAAAAAAAAAAAAAAGAGAGAGAGAGAAAGAAAGAAATAGTCCCTAATCAGACCCCTCTGAAGGCTGCTGATGAGAGACATTTACAAGGGCCTGGAATACAGTGACTACTCAACAGATGTTAGCCAGTGAGGACTTTGGTCAAAATTCCCTTGCACTTGAGTAAGACGTACCTACTACTCTAATGCTTTGTCAGGATCTTCAGCAGTTCTACTCTGCATGTTTTTATTGGTTCCAGCAGCAAAACAGCCTTGGTCTTACAAAAGTTCAGACTGGGGCCCATCACTGGGGCTGGGGCTGTCCTCCCTGGCTAATCCCACTAGGAGTCACCCCTGGCCATTCAGCGGCCAATCATCCTGCCGAGGAGGTCCACCAGTGAGTCATGGACACCCAATACAATGCCAGCACTTCTGCTGAGAGAGAAGGATTCTGGCCTAAGTCCTCACTTTGCAGATGAGGGCACGGAGGTGCTGAGGGACACCAGCTCGGTGCTTCGGGCACAGACAGCATTGACAAACGTTCGATGAATTGAGAAGTGAGCACCATTCACTCAGGATTCCCCGCCAGTTAGAGACGGCGCTGGGACCACCCTCTGAGCCCCACTCTGCAGCCCATGCGAGGTCCACCCCCTGGGTACCGAATGCCAGGGAACCAAAGGACCACCCAGTGCCCCATTCCACCTGACTCCACTGCCCGACAGCAACGGAAACCACGCCGGAGCTTCTTTCTCTCAATACCCACATGCCCGGCCCAGCTCCCAAGGGCACAGCAAACAGGCAGTTATATCATGTCACTTTATGAGAGGAGACACGTAAGCCTTCCTCCTTTGCCCACTCCCACTGGGTTGTAAACAGACAGGGCTGAGCACCTGAGCAGGGACGAGGTGACATCACCGGCAGCGAGAGCAGGATTTGTTCCAGATCAGCTGCAATGCAGATAATCTGTGAATAATTAAGAGGTGCTTTATTTATTTTTAAAACTCCTTCCTCTTCCTCTCACACGGGGGAGGGCCTGTCTCCCTGGTGCATGTGCATAAGCGTGCGTGTGGCAAGTGGTCTCCTGACGCACAGTCAGCTCTGTGGGCAGGTACCAGCCACCCTGACCCCTAAGTACACTCGTTCGATTCCTGCCTCCCAGTTGGTTCCACCTTCCCCCTTCCTGAAACGTCCTCTTGCTTCCCGCCCACTCGCCCATCACTCAGCACCCAGATGGCATCTCCCTTCCACTCTGGAGGACCCGTGCCTGGAGTGTCCCCCGTGGATCCTCGCGGCTCTGAAGCCCTGCAGGGCCCATGCGCACTGTCCTGACACCGTATGCTCACCTGGGCTGCTACTTAGCCCTCACACGTGTCCATGTCTCCGCTAGACTCTGGCCAAGTCCCAGGCACAAAGCGGTGCTTAGACAGTGACTGAGCTGGGAGGAGCCTGAGGGGCATCCGTTACGTCTGCGAGGTGGTCGTGCCCATACGTCCTATGCGGCCAGCCTCCCCTCCCGCGTCTGCTGCCTCCATACAATTTGCTCGGAGGGCTCCTCTCACGAGGAGCCCCAAATGCACCTCGACCCTCTCGGTAGGACCTTCTGCTCAGGGGCCGCCTCTCAGAATTCCAGCACCAAGCAGGAAGCCCTTGACTGATGGCTTCTCTGTGCCCCGAGTTCACAGTCACTCATCTCACCTCAGCCCTCTTGACTTTCCCAGTTTCTAGAATGCCTCTGTCATTTCCACTATGAACCTGTGCCTTTCTCCACAGGTGGACTGATCACCCAATACCTGGCATACCTAAGATGTCTTGGCCTTGTGATGCACTGTTTGCATGACACATGGGGGCGTGGGGTCGGCAGCCCTGAGAGGGGCAGACCTGGCACCTGGTGGTGCCCACTTGGGCAGAGCACTGCCTGGCAACTTCTCGGAGCAAAGTACAGCCACTCTCCATTTGAATTTGGTGGCTCCGAGCTGCTTTGAATCAGGACAGATTTCAAACTGGGAAGCGGCATCCACCTTGGAGGAAGGGAAGGTTGTGGTTTCAGGGGCACTGGAGCAAGAACTCATATAACTCCAAGGCTCCAGGGCTTCGTGGCCAATGTCGTAATAAGATGCAGGAGTACAATTATCTCCCCCGGGACCCCAGCATTGGCGTGTTACCTTCTCAATGACTTCACAGACTCTCCTACAACACTTCAGTTGAAGCCAGTTAATCATCCTCTCACGCATCCAGCCTTCTAACGTGTGGAGGCAAACCAGAGATGAGACGGTGCGTGCTCACTGTGCCTTGCTGGGGTTCTTTGGGATCTGGTTTACAAAGCAGCTTTGGAAAACCTAAATTTAGCCTCAACTCTGTAGGCTGAGAGCCTCCAAAACCTCGTGCTGCTGTTGACTTTCAGCACAAACGACAGCCCCCAATGAGGTGCTGGTATTTCACAGGCTGAGCCTCCTTTTCTCTCCTAAGCACCCAAAAACTTGCAGGAAATCCTTTCCAGGACAGGCTGATGTTTAGGCTTGAAGAGGCTGCACACTGCAAAATTCTAGGTGGCACCATTCCCATTACAGTCAAGACTGTGTGACCCTGATCACTATAGTCCATGTGCATCACATCCCCTAGACAAGAGATCAGCACATTTTTCCCATAAAGGGCCAGAGAGTGCACACCTAAAGCTCTGCAGGTCACACTGTCTCTGTTGCCACGACTCAACCCCACCATAGCACAAAAGCAGCCAGAGATGACACCCAAACGAGGGACATCGCTGCATTTAAAAAGAAAAATTTACAAAAATAGGAAGGAGATGGAGTTTGGTTAGGGGCTGTGGCCAGTTGAGCCCTTCTCCAGACTAGCTTATTCTGAGGCGGCATCAGTGAGCCATCACTCAGACTTCCTGACTCCTCCTGCGCAGTCTCCTCGTCCTGGATTCAGTCCTCCTGTTGCTCTGCGCGACGGTCCTGCCCCAGGCCTGCCTGCCCCCAGGGAGCCACCCCAGGCTGAGGTCGGCTCTGGTGTCCACACGCACTCGCCCTGAACAGAGGCTTCCTGGACAGGAGGAGATGGCGACACGATGGAGACTCGGACTGAAGGGTCACCACAGGCCAGGAGCCGCGCCAGGGATGGCGGCCTGAGTCAGACTCCCAGGAAGCTCCCAGAGGGACATCAGGCATTAGCAGGTGACAGCTCCAGAGGCGCACCTCTCAGCACCAACATCGGATCCGAGCCCAGGTGAGGCATTCTCAGCACAAGCACCTAGCCCCGTGCAGCCTCTGGGCGCAAGGAAGGGCCAACCTGTGACAGGCACACTCTGTGGCTCTTTGCCAACGACAGCAAGAGGCGGCCACCTCTTCAGCTATGCTCAGCCCCACACAGAGAGCATGTTCATGGCCCGCTTTGTGGAAATGGAAACTGAGAAACAGAACATTAGAACGAGATTAAGAGTCGGGAAAAAAAAACAAAGACCAGGAGACGGCACATTTACACGTCTGTGATGCTACCTTCCAAGCAGTTCTTGACCTCCTGTTACGTGACCCTCAGAAGCCAGAGCCCAGGTTGCGGGGACCAGCCGCCCAAGACGGGGACTGAACCAAGCGTTCTCACAGCTGCCTGACTCCTAAGGTCCTGGGGCCACCTGCCTGGGAACCGTTGCCACCTCCCCCGAATGGCCAGACAGCTGGTGCGGGACAGCCATGAGCAGCTCCGCCAGCCCAGGGGAGACTCGGGGCG